AACTATAACAATATATAGTAATAAAAGTTATCTAACAAGATGGACGATCCATTCTTACTATAGATCTTATTAGGCACAGTAAAAGATTAACCACAATAACTAATAATAAAATAGAACAATTATAACAATAGACTGTAATAAAAGTTCTATGACAGATAGAAGATCCATTCTTACCAAAGACCTAATTAAACAGGAAGAGATTTACAACTATAACTAATAATAAAATAGAAGATTTGTTCTTGCTACATGTCTTCTGCATACAATTTTTTTAAAGTAATTATTCACTCAGTAATTTTTACTTGAGAAGTTTTGTTTGTGGCTGATCTAAATGGCCAGCATCACAATTCTTGCATTTTAGGGTCAATAGGAAGTAAAACTTACAAATTGTTTACCTTTGGGGTTGACCACAGGTAGCCGAAATTGCAGCAGGTGAAATAACGAACACGGGTAAAGGTGGTGTTGGAGGTGTGGGAGCACTATAATAGCGTTTTATTTATTAAAATCATTTTTTAAAAAATGGATATATCCAGCTTAACTATGAATTTGCATTTTTTAAATTCTCACCAAAGGATATATCTGTTTCTTAATCTTTTGAGCCCTGACCACCACTTTAACAGTGGTAGAGAAAAATGATGTAATGCTCAGCCACTGGTTGAAAAGTGGTAGGAAAAATGACTTAATGCCCAGCAACCGGTTGAACGGTGTGTAAACACTTGTAACTATTTTGATATCTACTGTGAAACATTACATATCAATTATTTGTAAATTCTGACTCAGGATCTCAGGCAGAAGGGTTAAAATTGTTTATGAACGCAGGATCTAAGGGTTAATGACTAACATTATTTATCTCTAATGAGAGCAGACTATAACAGGGTAACCAGAAAGGATTGACCTAACAAACTGATAGAACTGCTTGTTAAACATCAATATAAGTAACTTTATATTTAAATAGTCAGACAAATGAGATTTAGTTCCATCATTATAGATATTAAATAATTTTTGCTTAGTCTGGGACCAGGCCATAATAGTAGCAGTTGACATATACTAGAAATACTTTAAGATAAACTCGAACTTATTTACAATATTTGTATGCAAGCTATTGTCTATATCTTTGTTATCACAATGCTTCAGCCATTGTGCCTTCTGACCTTCATCAGGTTGGTGTTAATCAGGGAATTCCAAACTGAACCCTTTACTTAATCTATGCTTTAATTCATTAGGCTATTGTCTCCAGCCTAGTTTATTAAAGCGTTGATTTGTGAATTTGATGAGACAGTGATTGTGAGTTCAATCCCTGGGCCAGTTAGTGTGTACTTGGACTCTCAGTGGAAACAGGCTGAGTAATAACTGATCAATACTAAAAAATAAGAACTAGACAAGATATCCCTAGAAATGGGCAGTGGGATGAGAACTGTCTCACCCCATAGATTAAATAAAGGGTTCAGTTTGGATTTCGTTGTAGGTTACTCGGATCAACGTGCACCTGATGAAGGCCAGATGACAATGACCGAAACGTTGTCATAAGAACAACAAAGATGACAATAATCTGCAAGTAATTAGTGTAAATAATGATAACTCTTCATCCTAAATAACTTCTAGACCTTGATTTAACCCCGAAGTGATTTAGAAGTGCCCAAATATGCCGGCACGTTCCATTGTACAGCAATCAGAAATGCTTTCAATACACTGTGTTATCAAATGATTGAGTAGAAAAATATCCACAACTTTGACAAAGATGTAGATTTCCAAAATCATATCTCTTAACCAAGGAAGTTAATTTTGGTGTCATTGATAATAAGGACAATAGTACAAATGGAAATAGGATATAAAAAAATGATAACTCCTTAGCTCAGACAGAAAACAATAAGAATTGAAAAAATACTTAATGTCTGACAAATAAAAACTTATTACTAATAAGGAGTTGACAAAATATGAAGCCATATTTTGATGTCATGGGCGGCAGTGGCATTGTTGCCTTGGAAATCCATTGATTTTTCATACTCTGGAGTCAAACTCTCAAGCAATATCTGTTTTCGGTTTTCTCTTTGGTTATGATCTAAGTTGAGATTCCTCAGTTTGTTTTTTGTCCCCTTTTTTATCTACAACTTTGTCAAAGTTGTATCTTTCCAAAAACATCTCTCTTAACCAAGGAGGCTAATTCTGGTGTCATTTGAAAGGGAAATCAATTTTTACTCTCACATAAAATTAACTTGTAAGACTTGGTTCTCAACAGCTTTCAAGACATATCAATTTAATTGCACTAATGTGACATATTTAGAAATTTTCTACAATTCATCTTTGTTATGTCTTCTTTGGCTAACATTTTCTACCAGTATGAAGTGGAACAATTATATTAAATCAATTGCTTGGTCTGCTACTAGGAAAATTGGTTCACCATTTTGAGCTAGACAATTTTCCTCTTCTGAATCTGTTTTATACATTTATAAGTCTACCATTTGTCCATGCATCAAATATTTTACATCTGGTCTGGTGTTTCTGTTAAGTATTTAGAGATTCTTGATAGAATCCAAAGAAGAATCTGCAATGTTGTCATGACCTGGCATCTTGGAACATAGCTTCTCTGATGTCTGACCTGGAAAGTTGGTTCGGTGTGTTATACTGGACAATTTTTCATTCCAGAATCTGTCTTACACATTTATATGTCTACCATTCTCCCATGCATTGAATATTGCTGCCACATCCAGTCTGGTGCTTCTGCTATGTATTTAGAGATTCTTGATAAAATACAAAGAAGAATCTGCTATGCTATTGGTTCTAACCTAGCATCCTGGCTTCAGTCACATTCCCATCACCATAATGTAACTTCTCTATGCCTTTTCTATAAATATGGTAATTGTTCTATGGTACCTCAGAGTCTATGAATTTAAGTGTAGATTGGCGGCAAGGTTTTATCTTACAGTTGAAATGGTTAGATGTAATCATAATTTCTTTGCTAATGGTTTCTTCTCTTACACTTCTCACTTGTGGAAATCTCTTCCGGCTTTTTGTTTTCCAGTCAATTTTGATCTTCAAAAATTTATATGCAATGTCAATCTTCTTAATTCTTGTTTTTTTTTTTTTTTTGTCTTTTAATGTTTTCTTTTTGTCATACCCTCTTACTCACTAACCTCTTGTGTCTTAGTGGCTTTATTACCTTGTTTGGTGTGAAATGATTAAAGAAAAAAAAGAAAAAAAAAAGAGATATCAGCAGGACTAGCAATTGAAATCTCTTAAGGACTGATAGGGTTAAGGCAGGTTTCTTGATCACCCCACCCTGACAATTATTTTAGAGAAACAGGAATGTTTATTTTATAGTATCTTACAATAAATAAACAAGCAATAAAAGTAATTTTTTTTATTTTCTATTTCACTTCCCACCATAGATATTTAGGACAACTTGCACTGAAGCGGTACTCTCTCTCCACCAACAGTGGGGACTCACAATATATTCTCGTATCAGTTGCTTTGTATTGCTGTAATACTTAAATGTAGAATAGCATTACTGGACCTGTACTGTGAATTTTCTAGTTTTCAGCAAGTGAACTAATCGTATAATTTTATTTTTAGTGAAAATAGCCCAAGGCCAGCTTTTTATTAATTGTATTGATAATATCAATACCATTCTTCTAATATATGATAATCTTAGGAATCATGAAGCACAAATAAAAAAAATCTATTTATGAATTAAATACTGCAGAGAGTGTTACTGTCAGTGTATTTGAAAAAGATAGGTGAAAGACATTTTGAATATTTCATGAAGGTAATCTAATTTGCATAATTTAGGCATGGGGAGGTCCTGAAAAGAATAGATCATAATATTGCTTTCCCTTACCATTAAGAACAATTTATGACAAATTCCATGGGCAATGTACGAGGTATGTAAAAATATATATATATATATATATATATATATATATATATAATATAAAAATAAAAAGAAAGAACAGTAAGATATATAATCCGTGTTCTTATAGATATTTTTATTTTACAAAATAGTGCTCAATGTAAATTTACAGAGCATTAATATTATAAATTAATTGATTTAAAATATAGTTTTTTTTCACTACACAGTTCTAACCATGTTTCAAAAATGGTTTGAAACATGGTTAGAACTGTGTAGCGAAAAAAAAAACATTTTTAAATCAATTAATTTATAATATATATATATATATATTCAGTCAATTCTATGCTTTCAGTTTTTAATTTATATTAAAATAGTCTATTTTTATTTTTGTAGTTTTCTTGAAAATCATACCAGTTCTATTACACTATTGGTTAGAACTCCATTTAAAAAAAAATAAAGAAGGAAATCCCATCCAGGTCCTGCATATAAAGTTGAGGTACCTTGTAAGTTAATCATTACTCAGACTACCAATATGTATACCTAGACTAAATCCATAACACAGTAAAATATTAAATATAAATAGGAGAGATTTATAAGCAAAGTTGTTGGGAGTCTAATGTTTACTCAGATACCATAGACAACTAGTACTTGAATCTAGACTACCCAGTTATTATACACTACTAGTACCTGAACCTAGACTAACTTCATAATACTGTAGTATTAAATAGCAATAGAGGGGTGTGTTGTATGATATTAGATATGGTTACCTTTTTCTTTTTAATAGGAGTACATAAGTTTTAAAATATAAATTATTAAAAAAAAAAGAAAAAACAAACTGATCAGTTGATTGCTTTTGCTTAACACTTTTTTTTACATTTTGAACTTTACTGAAAATTATAAATTATAACCACTCCCCAAATAAAAAACAAAAAAACAAAAAAAAAAACAAAATCATTGACAAAGAAAGAAAAAGCTGGTTAAACAGAAAGAGAAAATACCATTAGTTGATGAGCCCTTAACAAAAACTAGAAAGATAGAATTAATATCTAAAGAACCAGGCAAGAAGTTGTCAGTTATTAGTAATAGTGTTTATAGCATGAAAAAGAAAACAAGTTTTAAAAAAAGGCAAGCATTTTGGATTTGTCTACATTCTGACCTGAATGGTGTTTTATCACTGATAGAGCTGTTTGAATTAAACAGGTAACTCATGGGACTATTAGATAAGCTGGAAGAATAAAAGAGGGAAAAAAAAACAACAAAACAAAAGATTATGGTTTAATATCACAAAAAGCAAAATGTTATGCAAAAACAAAGTAGAGGTACATTGAATATATATATATATATATATATATATATATATATATATAGAGAGAGAGAGAGTGAGTGAATGTGAAGTATTAAAATGAAAATGTAAAAGAAATAATGTAAAAGGAAAAAAGGAAAAAAAAAGGAAAAAAGGAAAAAGTAAAAAAAAGGAAAAAGTAAAAAAAAAGGAAAAAGTAAAAAAAAAGAAAAAAGTAAAAAAAAAGAAAAAAGAAAAAGCAAAGAGAAAAAGAAAAAAAGAAAAAGCAAAGAGAAAAAGAAAAAAAGAAAGAAAATATGAAAGAAAGAAGAAAAAAAGAAAATAGGAAGAAAAAGAGGAAAAAAGAAAATAGGAAGAAAAAGAGGAAAAAAGAAAAAGGAAGAAAAAAAAAAAAAAAAAAAAAAAAAAAAAAAAAAAAAAAAAAAAAAAAAAAGGAACCTGATTAAACAAATGCAGTTTTCTGAGGAAACCAATAATAATAATAATAAACAAAACATTTCAAGGAGAAAAAAAATTGATATCTCATGAGAAATTTCTTTTTTCCTGGGTCTTCTTACTCTGAAATTGAAGTGGACAATGATTCAATGATTGTCCTGGTGCAGCTGACAAGATATTTTGATAACATGGTCTCATACATTGACATTGATCAAAGCCTCAAAAGGAACAAAAATTAATGAAAACATTTAAAAAAAATTCAAGAAATATGTTAGTTTCATAATAGCTGTTATAATTCATATATGAGATGCAACAGCTATAACTGATGGAGTAAAATTAAATATCTTGCATATGTGTGTGTAGGAAGGGGGCAACAATTTAAATTTACCTTAGTCCCAAATAGTTAACAAATAAAAATAATGGGTTAGATACATAAGACCTTTTTTCAAGTGCATTAGGGGAAAAACAGGTGAGAAAAATTAATTTCCTGTAATAAACAAAAAACAAAGAATGATCACAAAATAACGTTTCCAAACATAAACTGAAAGGGTGAGAGAAGCAGGTAGACATTCAAATTACATGTTTTGTAAATTTGTATCTAATTTATACCTAAATTCTTAATTTAATTTTTTAAAGTATAACATTGGGAGAAAGTGCTATTAAAATAGTCAAGCAAAACCAAATTTAATTTACTTATCATTAACCGAGCCTTCATTTGGCCAAAATCAGCAAAAAAAAACAGGAGATAAAAGATCTAAGAGTAAGAACAATATGCAAAAAACAGGAATAATTGAAATCTTTAATTAGAAAAACATTTAAGTCTGTGGGAGGGCCACATAGTACACAAGTACAGTTACTGTCTGTCTGTGTCTCTCTCTCTCTCTCTCTCTATATATATATATATATTCAAAAATGTATTTTCATCTTCTTCTTGAAGATGTTTAGTCTTGGCATTGACTGCCAACAAAAGAAAAGTGTTCTACTTATTCACTGCTTTCAGTGAAAAAGAGATTTTTTTAATGTTTGGACAATTCAGTTGCATTTTTAATGGATATCCTTTGATGAGTTGAAACAGGCTTTTAGTAAAATGTTTCTTGAAACCTATGTCATCAGTTGAATTCACTGTTCTAAATACTTGAATTAAATAAAGTCTAAAATGTTCAGTTTCAAGTGAGAAGAGGCCAAGCCTTTTGGGATAGGGCATATTTTTAAATTCAGGAATCATTTCAATGAACATAATGGCTGTTCCATTAATTTGGCATCTTTGAATTCGATTTTGGAAAGATGAACAAGAATCAGTCTTACAAAATATGAAGATGCATGGTCTTGGAGAAATAAAATCATTAGCTTAAATGTTTCTTGGTTGTGACCCAATAACCCTCAAAAAACAACTTGTCAAACAATGTAGAATAATTCTCTGCATTTCTCTTCATAGCATTATCAACTTTGATGGAACCTATAATTCTACTGCCTTTAATATGAGCCCAAAACATTCAACTCCCCCACTATTTGTTTCTAATGATATTTCTCCGTTTCTTAATATTTTGCTCAGAATATATTTGTTATATTTCATGCTAATAGGAATATATACTTGACAAACACGATGGATAAAATAAGTAAAGGTTTATTGTAAAAACCAGTACAATAAGAATAAAGGTAACAGTTATGCACAAGGTGGTCATCACAAGTTAATCCAATAGTGAGTGCTACTATTGAAAGGTCAGTAGTTCTTGTGTAAGTCTGAGTCGTACTCAACAGATCCCAACTAGTATATTTAGCTACCCACCCCCCATGAGTTCAGGGGCAGTCTACCTCCCCGAACAAGACTCTGCCCTTCAGCGGAGCCTTGTCCGGGTTCCTCTCTGCTCAGTGGCAGAGAGTTCAACTGTTTAGCTGGAACAGATCGCAGCTAGACCCTGTAGTCCACTGACTTACAGATACTTGTAGGTAATTACTACCTATAGTGTAGTCACTCATGGGGGTGACAGGTTATTCCATTACATCAATATTAGAATAATCTAGAACATTTACAAGGAGAAAACTGCCTGTGTATGGATAGAAGAAAAATTGATTAGCCACAGTAGAAAAGGGAAACCTCACTGAGTGCAGTGAAGCATGACATGCTGCAGTAGAACTCATCAGAAGGCAGACTAGGTTTAGGGCTCCAAATTCTCCACTTATGCCTAGTGGATTAAAGTACTGGTTTGTAAATTTAGTGATCTAGTAATTATGAGTTCAATCCCTTGTCCAGGTAGTTGGAATTGGGCAAGCAATAACTGAGTTGTACTAAATAAAAACTAGATGAGATATCCCTAATTAACACCTTTATCCAATTTGCCATGTGTCCTTGAGGACAACTGTGTATGAATTTCTGGGTATTATAAACCTAATGTCTTCAGCAGTCATTTTTTACCAGTGCTCATAATAATAAGGAGTGCCAGAGAAAAGCAATAATAACAACAAAAATTGCAATATAAGCTCTGGTAAAAACATGAAATGATAATAGCAAAAATTGCAATATTGAGTATTGAACTCACACTCTTTGGGTCCTGTCCAGTGACAAGACCCAAAGAGTGACAGTTCAATACCTGGTTAAGGCAGTGGAGAACTTTCAGAGGGAAATTAACAGGAGATAACTGATAACCATTAAACATGACACATGGAACTTGAACAGTCTACCCCAGTGAGTGAAATAAAGGGTTCAGTTCGACATTCCAACCACCTGAAGAAGGCCGGAGCGTACAACGGCCGAAACGTTGTAATAAATGTGGCGACAAAGATGAGGACAGTAGTCTGAATAATGTAAATAATGTCAGCTCTTGATGTTTCAAATAAATAAATCAACCATTGCGTACTTCAATCAGAAAGAAGTAACAGCTTGCAGAGGTGAAATGCTGTGGCATGCTGGCTGAATTGTTCTGGAGGATATAAGCAAGTAATTTGCATACAACAGACTGAAGGGAAGGTGATCTCTTTCTAAAAAGGACAATCAAAAATCAGTTAAGGGCCCTAAAATCCAGCAGCCAAGACAACCAAAATCATTGTGCAAGTGATGACGTATCTAGTTTACATTTCAGAATGGTAAAATCTAACAGAATTATCACTGTTTAAATTTATTGTCCTATACAAACCGGATGTTATTATATAAGCTTTGCTGTTTGGATGGCATGATCATCTTAGTTGTTAACTCACAATATTTCAGCCATTGTATTCTTGCAGTTTCTTCAGGGATTTGTCTATGAGGTTTGATTCTAAAGTACAAGAAGGTTACCAAGTTAAAGAAACAAACACCTGAAGAAGGTTGGGGGGGGTACAATGGCCAAAACATTATGAGTATAGCAACCAAGATGAGCATGTTGGTCTGAATAGCAAAGTACAATGCAAGTGTGTGTGTGTATGTATATATATATATATATATATATATATATATATATATATAAAAATGGGTGTGTGACTGAGTGGTTAGAACGTTTACTTTCTGACCATGATTGATCTGGAGTGGGGGTGATCCCAGCATGCAACACCTTTGGAAAGTGCCTGAAAACCATACCACAGGTTGACCCAAGCCTTGTGAGTTAAATTGGGTAGACGGAACACTTGGGGGCTTTCAATTGCTGTGCTCACAAGTCATCATGACCAAGGGTTTGAGTGTGCTGATGCTGTTCAGATTGTTGATCATGCTAGGTAACATGCTCTTTCCCAGAAACTGTAACTAAGGTCTGCTCAGTATAGTTGCAGTATAAGGCTGTGTGGGTGTTGAACAAACATAAATGTGCTTGTGCGAGAGTCTGCAATAGAGATTGGCTAGCCGCCCTACTAGACAGGTATCCTTGAATACAATTGGGCAGCTATATATATATATATATATATATATATATATATATATATACATACATGTGTGTGTGTGTAATTTAAATTAAAAAACAGACAATCTTAAGGATCCATTAATTATATTTTATTTCCCCAGATCACATTTCCAAGCTCTCTCTCTCTCTCTATATATATATATATATTCTCTGTGCCAAATTATTATCAAGATAACTTTTTATGTAATATTTCAAAAACCGTCTAATCAATTCACACAAAATTTTCACAGAATGTTGGCAACACTGACCTGCACAATCACTGAAATTTTTGTACTGATCTGCGCAATGTAAACAAACTGGCGCCATATTTATTATCAGCACGGTGATTTGAGCATGCCAAATTATTAGAAAGGTTTAGTAAAATTCGCACAATTGAGCAAACAAAACGTTTATTAATGTTGCACGTGAATGTTTATGATCAAAAGAAGCTAATAAAAAGATAATCAAACAAATAATAACAGATACAAACAAAGGTACAGTTTTAAACAAATTAATAGGGAATATGCTTTCCCTGTTTTGAAATTACTTAAAGAAGTCGACGATCCATAGAATTTGTTAATTGTAGGATGTCAAAAATTGCTTCCCACAAATCAGCATTGCTCCTG